AGAGAGAGAGAGAGAGAGCGATATTAATGATGATACAAATTATTATTATATAACTTACGTTGATACGCAGTTCTTTCAATACTCCAAAATAAATTTCTTAAGTCCGCCCTTGATGGACAATCCTCCCGTTTTTGGCAGATAGCGTTCGGAGTGCTACTGGTGGGATCCGGGTTAGCGGCTCTGATCCTCCTGTGGGACATCCTCTACTCTCGATTCCGGGAGAAGGGGATCCAACACCTGGTACTGATAAGTCTGCTGGTCCCAGGAACGATATAAGTGGGATTGAGTGGGACTTGAGCGCCCGATTTTGTGAAGGAATAAAAGTGGATTTTGTGAGATTTAAGTGCGGTTTAAGGGATTTAGGCTTGTTTTAAGGGATTGAAGCTCGGTTTAAAGGTTTCGAAAATATCAAATGCACATGTGAATCGTCAGAACAGATTATTATCTAATCAACCTATTAACCATCCACTTATTCAACAATTCACTACCATTCAACTATTCTTTGGACCATTCTATTTTCATTATTCATTAATGTAATTACACATTAAATATCAGTGATATTTAACTGTTTCATTATCGTGCCCATTAAGCTACCCAATAAAACAACAATTCCCACTTATCCCTGTTTGAAAAGCCTTTGACAAGCCGCCGGCTTCCTGTCCTCTTCGAGGCCTCTAGTGTTAGTGGTGTTCAGGTAAAATATACCATATATGAAAAAAATTCCATCTATATATATCTCCTTGTCCTCATACCCCAGCTCCTTGTCCTCATGTCCCAGATTCGTGTCCTCATATCCCAGCACCTTGTCCTCATATCCCAGCTCCTTGTCCTCATATCCCAGCTCCTTGGCCTCATATCCCAGCTCCTTGGCCTCATATCCCAGCTCCTTGTCCTCATACCCCAGCTCCTTGTCCTCATATCCCAGCTTCTTGTCCTCATATACCAGCTGCTTGTCCTCATATCCTAGCTGCTTGCCCTCATATCCCAGCTCCTTGTCCTCATATACCAGCTGCTTGTCCTCATATACCAGCTGCTTGTCCTCATATCCCAGCTCCTTGTCCTCATATCCCAGCTCCTTGTCCTCATATCCAGCTCCTTGTCCTCATATCCAGCTCCTTGGCCTCATATCCCAGCTCCTTGTCCTCATACCCCAGCTCCTTGTCCTCATATCCCAGCTCCTTGTCCTCATATACCAGCTGCTTGTCCTCATATCCCAGCTGCTTGCCCTCATATCCCAGCTCCTTGTCCTCATATACCAGCTGCTTGTCCTCATATACCAGCTGCTTGTCCTCATATCCCAGCTCCTTGTCCTCATATCCCAGCTCCTTGTCCTCATATCCCAGCTTCTTGTCCTCATATACCAGCTGCTTGTCCTCATATCCCAGCTGCTTGTCCTCATATCCCAGCTCCTTGTCCTCATATCCCAGCTCCTTGTCCTCATATCCCAGCTCCTTGTCCTCATATCCCAGCTCCTTGGCCTCATATCCCAGCTCCTTGTCCTCATACCCCAGCTCCTTGTCCTCATATCCCAGCTCGTTGTCCTCATATACCAGCTGCTTGTCCTCATATCCCAGCTGCTTGCCCTCATATCCCAGCTCCTTGTCCTCATATACCAGCTGCTTGTCCTCATATACCAGCTCTTTGTCCTCATATCCCAGCTGCTTGTCCTCATATCCCAGCTCTTTGTCCTCATATACCAGCTCCTTGTCCTCATATCCCAGCTCCTTGTCCTCATATCCCAGCTGCTTGTCCTCACATCCCAGCTCCTTGTCCTCATATCCCAGCTCCTTGTCCTCATATCCCAGCTCCTTGTCCTCATATCCCAGCTCCTTGTCCTCATATACCAGCTCCGTGTCCTTATATCCCTTCTAAGTGCTATAGTCATACTTTCTCTAGTGATAAATATGATGACTTAATTCCTGAAATATTACTCAGAATTAATTGCACTAATATGAATTTTAATCAGAGTTAATAATTATCATGTTAAATACCACTGCAACTGTGTACATAAAAATGTTAAATTCTTAGTGTTTATGTAGCGAATTAACAATGATGTTAAATTCTAAGAAATATTTATAAATTACTTTTAACAATGAAAACTATTACATGTTGTTTTAATTTAATAATAAACAATAAAATTAATTAATAGCCTTGTTTATTTTGTGATTTAAACAAATAATATATATATATATATATATATATATATATATATATATATATATATATATATATATATATATATATATATATATTGTATATATTTATATTTGTTGGGAATGTTTCTGTTGTACAAATGTTTATTGTTTAACACAATTCAGATGTCCTTAATGACTTAATTATGTGGTTATAAATCTTGTACACTTAGAACATACTGGAGGAGTGACAGGAAGACTTATGACATGGATCAAAAATTTCATGACAGAAAATAGCGACAGTAATCAGAGTTGTTAATCAGACTGGAGAAATGATACTAGAGGAGTACCACAGGGTTCAGTTCTTGCACCAGTAATTTCCATTGTCTTTGTAAACCATCTTCCAGAAGGGACACAGAATTATATGAACATGTTTGCTGACGTAGCAACACTTGGCTAATGGAAATTAATGTGAATAAGTGCCACGTTATGGAATGTGGAAAATGAGATACTAGGACACATAACCTATAAATTATGTGAAAAGGCTTTACAGAAGTCTGATAAAGATATTTAAGGATGGTTCTGGTTAGAAAACTCACCTGAGGACCACATAAAGAATATTGTGCGAGGAGCCTATGCCACGCTTTCTAACTTCAGAATTGCTTTTGAATACATGGATGGCGATAGATTAAAGAAATTGTTCACAACGTTTGTGAGACCAAAATTGGAATATGCAGCGGTTGTGTGGTGCCATTAGCTCAAGAAGCACATCAATAAACTGGAAAAGGTGCAAAGACATGCCACTAAGTGGCTCCCAGAACTGAAGAACAAGAGCTTCGATGAGAGGCTTGGAGTGTTAAATATACCAAAGCTAGAAGATAGAAGAAAAAGAGGTGATATGATCACTGCATACAAAGTAGTACAAGTAGTCGACAAAACGGATAAAGTAGAAAACTTGAAATCTAAAACTTCAAGAACAAACCGGTCATAGATTTAAAATAAGGAAACAAAGCTGCCGAAAGAACATAAGAAAGTTCACTTTTGAAAACAGAGTGGTGGACGGTTGGAACAAGTTAAGTGAGAAGGTGGTGGAGGCCAAAACCGTCAGTAGTTTCAAAGTGTTATATGACAAAGAGTGCTGGGAAGACGGGACACCACGAGCGTAGCTCTCATCCTGTAACTACACTTAGGTAATTACACACACGCGCGCGCGCACACACACACACACACACACACACACACACACACACACACACACACACACACACCACTCACTCACTCGACTACCTCATCGACACTAATTAAATTAATTAGTTTTATGTTGTAATTATAATTAATTTTCCATTAACTAGCGACGAGTTGAAGTTATTGATTTGTTGTGTGTGTGTGTGTGTGTGTGTGTGTGTGTGTGTGTGTGTGTGTGTGTGTGTGTGTGTGTGTGTGTGTGTGTGTGTGTGTGTGTGTGTGTGTGTGTGTGTGTGTGTGTGTGTGTGTGTGTGTGCGAGCGTGCGTGCGTGCGTGCGTATATCATCTCGCGTGGGGTTGAACATCATCCACATCTTCGCCTCTGTGTCTCACATATAACCACACACACACGCTGCTAAAAGCTACATAATTACATAATTAAACTACATAAAAAAACTACCTCACTCTCTCTTCATTCATTTCACCCAAGCAATAATCACTTAGAACCCTCTGACCCATCTATATATATATATATATATGTCGTACCTAGTAGCCAGAACGCACTTCTCAGCCTACTATGCAAGGCTTGATTTGCCTAATAAGCCAAGTTTTCATGAATTAATTGTTTTTCGACTACCTAACCTACCTAACCTAACCTAACCTAACTTTTTCGACTACCTAACCAAACCTAACCTATAAAGATAGGTTAGGTTAGGTTAGGTAGGGTTGGTTAGGTTCGGTCATATATCTACGTTAATTTTAACGCCAATAACAAAAAATTGACCTCATACATTATGAAATGGGTAGCTTTATCATTTCATAAGAAAAAATTTGAGAAAATATATTATTTCAGGAAAACTTGTCTTATTAGGCAAATCGGGCCTTGCATAGTAGGCTGAGAAGTGCGTTCTGGCTACTAGGTACGACATATATATATATATATATATATATATATATATATATATATATATATATATATATATATATATCCAAACTACACACTAGAAAGTGAAGGGACGACGACGTTTCGGTCCGTCCTGGACCATTTTCAAATCGATTGTCACAATCGACTTGAGAATGGTCCAGGACGGACCGAAACGTCATCGTCCCTTCACTTTCTAGTGTGTGGTTTGGCCAACATATTTCAGCCACGTTATTGTGACTCCTCGTCTGTATATATATATATATATATATATATATATATATATATATATATATATATATATATATATATATATATATATATATATATATATATATATATATGTATAACAGTGTCAGACCACGGACACTGTAAATATATATATTTACACATACATATATATGTATCTACATCTGTAATGTATATACATCTGTATATACATCTGTAATGTATATACGTCTCCCATCTGCAAGCCGCCATGTTGACGTCACATCCCCCCTAAAAAAAATGGCAGCCCTGTTGACCAACACATTACTATCCCACGCTCCAGCGACCACCTAATGTCTGCTCTCAACAACACAAACAACTTTCCCAGAAAAAAAATAATAATGTTACATATCGAATTAACATCAATATTATATGAGGGTACTGAAAGGGTTATTGAGGCCAGGATTACAGTGAGGCTTTTTTCCTCCCGCCCTTCACTCTCCCTCGAGTCTCCGGTGAGGTTGGATATATCCATCTGCTCGACCCGTATGTGGGGACACCTTTGTGTGTAAGGGGGAAGGGACACTTTTCGGGCTTTAGGACGCTTGTATTACGTGCGTTGGACAAGAGTTGGATGTCCAGTGGACACGACTGGGACGCCTAGGAACTCACAGTTGACTGTAGGTAGGTGTGGCTGACTTCGGGACATCCGGAAGAGACGTTTGGCTTTAGGACACCCAGTGGGCACGTCTGTATTGATACCCAGAGGAGACGTCTGGCTTTAGGACACCCAGTGGGCACGTCTTCCCAGAGGAGACGTCGGCCTTTATGATTCTCACGCACACATACGTCTGGCTTTTGGACATCCAGAAGACAGATTTCGCCTTAGGACATTCAGAGGATACATCTAGCTTTAGGACACCCAGAGGACACCCAGACTGGCTTCAGGACATTCAGTAGGCTCAGCTGCATTAGGAAGCACAACGATCCCGGCTGGCTCCAAGATGTTTTGTACGGTAAGTGAGACTGCTACATTGTACGGCACGTGTACGGCACGTGTATGCTTCGTTGTATGCCCCATGTATATGCTACATATACACTACATGTAAACCACATGTACACAACATGTATGCTACAACGTTACGTTACAAACACCAAATGTACATGTATATAAACAAGGGTACATGTACAGTTGGCACTTAGAAGAATTAATAGGGTTTGAAATAGAGGTAATGTTTACACTGAATACCAACAGAACACGGGGACATGGACAGAAACTTAACATGTGTCATAGAGATGTTAGAAAGTTTTCTTTTAGCATAAGGGTAGTGATCTTGTGAGTAAATGA